TGGTAGATGTTTTTAGGTGCTTGTACATTTATTCTTGGTCTCTTTACATGTCATTACAGAGTTAGCTCTCGTGAGTCAGAGAGCGTGCTGGGAAATGCTATTCACATCTCTGCTGCTGTTACAAATGAAGGTGTGGTTTTCCTGTACGGTGCACAGAGCTCACTAACAGAAAAACCTGCTCATCTGAAATGGCAAGACAGCATTGTATTGTGTAATGCATTATAAGCTTACGGTTTTATTATTGTCATTGTCCATGTTGCCGTATTGTTGAGCAGTGTAAGCAAAAAATGGTGCATTTGTACTTCACACATCACACACTGCCAGCTGTACTTTACTGACTATGTATGAGAATATTACACTATAACTGACATTTGACAGGACCTTAAGCACTCAACAGTTTTTAGTTGGCATACATCATTATCATCATACTCATCACTTTTATCTGCATATTTAAAATCGAAGTCTTTATGACCTTCAATATAAAAGAAAAACTACTGTAACAGCACACAGATGGTTATTATCACTTACCAGCAAAACTGTACGTGTGATCGTCAGAGTAAGTGAAGTCCTCACCAGCTGCAGCATTCTGATATCTGAAAAAATGTCAATGAAAAACAATAATAATAATAAAAAAAATAAGTCTTAATATTAAGAATTGTAGACACCATAAAACATTTATTCAGATAAAATTCAAGATTATGTATTTTTTCAATAACAGACAGTCAGTTTCTTTTGCAAATGATGATTTCTTGTGTGGTTTCAAATATTACACCTTTATAATATGGCAAAATAAAGCATATTTTACTTGCTACATTCGTAAAAGTGACACTGAAATAAACATTTGTATTAAAATGAATTTATATTCTTACTCTTCTTCCTCCTCGCTGAAAGAGTCTCCTGATAATTAAAAAAAAGAAGATGGTAAAATGTATAAAAGAGAGAAACAAATGACTTTATTGTTTTCTATTTTTCTCTTTGTACATATCATGCTAATCAACAATTAACTATAGTAGTTTTATACAGCACTTTTCTCATGAAAGTCACAAAGTGCTTTGACAATGACCACAAGACATGTTGTAATAAAAAATTATTTGAACAAAACAGAAATAGCAAACTATAAGTAGCTCCTGCTCTTCTTCAGGATATCTATCTTTCAGCCCTCAGAAAAACATGTGAAAACAAATATAGAGATGCCCCTAATGTTTTGTACACCCTCGGATAAGAGGCCTGTTGTTTTTAAACAGACCAGAATGAAGCTGGATTATGTTTTCTAAGTCATCCGAGATAATGCCATTACAAACTCCCCGGAGTATGCCTTTACTATAATTCTATTTTCAACATACCATATTGTGCTTCCAGATCCTCTCCCTCTGTCTGCACCTGCTGTTCCTCCACCATGTCTTCATTTGTCTGCTCACTGGATGCACTGTAAAAATACACATATCAAGCCCTTAAATCAACTCAGTATTGGCAGATCAGTTGTGTGTCCAGTGTATTTAAATTCACTGTAAATATCCTGCATCTAAAACATGACTTTGAGCACATATCACTGAACTGACTCTCTGTTTATCTGCTCATAAGTTTGGGAATGCTCTTAATGGTCCAGTGTGAAGGGTTTAGGGGCATATATTGGCAGAAATGAAAAAAAGAAAGAAAAGATAATACTAATAGTAATGTTTTCTTTAGTTCATAATCACCTGAAAATAATAACTGTAGGGTTTTCATTACTTTAGAATGAGCCGCTAATAGCTGCACAGGGAGTGGGTCCTTATCCACCAAGATCGCCATTTTGAACCATCATATTTCTACAGTAGCCCAGGATGGACAAACCAGACACTAGCTTTAGTTGGACAGTCTGTGTATTCATTTTGACCACTGTAGCTCACAGCCTCTCCATGACAAGAGCACTGTGAAACTGCTTTAGTTAGTGACTTTACTGGTTTGGGTTCATTTGTTCTGGAGAGGAAGAGACCTCTGCTCATAATTATGCTCCTGGTGAAAACCTCCTGAAAGTTATTTTATGTTAGCACATTAGCAGGTGTTGGGCTCTTGGCCTGTCTGTTACACATTTGTGACTTGAAAACTTGAAACTAGGTGAACACTGGCTGAGCTGCCAATTTTTGACGTGCCAATCAGCGTTGGAGAAACACTGATTTCTTATGCGACAGCGCTTTATTCAGTATTTTTCCCAGTTTCCCCTAGTTTGGCCTGTTTTAGAGAGGAAGAGACCTCTGTGGATAATAAGGCTCCTGGTAAAAACCTCCTGAACACTGGAGAGGTTTCAGCTGATTGCAATCTGCAATGTTCACCACTAGATGCCACTAAATCCCCCTAAATTTTACACACTGGACCTGTAAATTCATCATAGTACCAATGAGACTCACCATGGATCGCATGAAGCTGAGTAGCCTGCTGAAACAGAAAAAAACCAACAACATAATTCAAAGTAAAACAAATCATGCTTACTTAGTTGTTTAAGTTAATGATGTGCTTGGCATGACAAGCCAGTGTCATAAAGAATAGAGGTTACATCCACATAATACTTAGAGATTTTTTTTTTTCGTTTGTCGTCAGTGATAGTACAACTTTACTACAAGATGTGAACTAAAACTAAAATTGAGAAATGTGCCTTTCGATTCCCCTTCAATAAGCTGACCTTGTTTATTGATCCACCACAGACACAGACTCAGTAATACCGTCAGGATCAGGATTATCGCTCCACAAGAGACAATCACTAGGAGGATCAATCTTGCTAAAAAGCAAAAACACACATGATTAACATCACTATGTCCAAAAGATTACCATTTAAAAGGAGAAAAAATCTTACAGAAAATGGAAACTATCTGAAGCTCTGATGTTTCTTTATTGCATTTTGTAACAATGAGCAGCTGACACCCTCACCTTTGACCTTGAGTAATACTGCGTTATTTCCATAGAGGCTTTTCTCATGCTCTTGGATGCATTTGGATGGCAGCACCACGCAGCTGTAATGACCCGAATCCTTCATGACGGCACCTTTGATGGTGAAAGTCGCCTCCATCTGGGTGACATTAAAAGCTTGCACTTGGAGGATGGTCTCATTCCTCCTCAGGTAAGAGTGGATGAGTTGACATTCACCGAGTGTTTCCAGGGTGTCAGAAACAGTACATCTGAAGGTAACGTCATCCCCCTCGCTGACAGTGGACGGCCCAACAACTGAAATATCTGCAGGGAGGAAATTGGCTGTGCAGCAGGAAGGACAGAATGAGTAGGGAGAAATAAAAGTGACATAATGCTTTCACAGGAATTAAAATCCTTACATATAACCAGTATCTGAATGACGTTGTGTCCTCTCTCGACTACTCTGGAAAGCAAATCATTCTTTGTGGAGTAAACGCAGCTGTAATTTCCACTGTGATGAGGTCCAACTCTTTGTATGGTGAAGGTGGAATCATATTGATCTTCCTTCTGCAACTTTTTATCGGTCAAGAGACCATTCTTACATAAATACACATAAACTATGCTTTGTTTCTTGAATGTATATGTGCTGCAGGTTACATAAAGGTCACTGGTCTCGCTTATAGTTTTCTGTTGGGCCAGGATCCTTGCAGGGAAAACATCTGTAACATTGAGTAGACAGAGACAGAAATTGAATTGACAAATGATACAGTGCAAAACATATTGAGAATACAACATATAGATGTCTTCTCCTAGACCAAAGCTCACCTTTAGTTTGGCTTGTAACCTGATTTGCGAGAACACCTTGAAGAGAAGAAAGGGGTCATATAAATCCTTTCTCTGAATACAACGTACTTGCCTTACTTCATTATGAGAACAAACAATTAAATAGTTAAACATATAACTTGCAATGTACTTACACAGTAAGATGGTGATTAAATTCATGACTGTAAGCAAGGTGACACCCGTCGACTCCACAGCACTTAGTGAAACTCTGTATAGGCATCTTTTAGGTTTTTGTCTACACCCCACACCCACAGACAGCTCAAAAAATAAACATGCAGAAACAATAGCGAACAACTTCCTGTGCATTCTGTGGTGTCCTGTGACATTTGAACACGTTTATTCCCAAATGTAACATCATCAGTTAAAAATATGTTAATGCATGCTTTTACTGAGGCAGGTAAAACTTCTCAAAAGGACACATCAAAAATTATTCACAGATACCTTTAAAAAGCTCCTTCACTTTGTACATCATACAGTATCTGTTGGGCAGATCTCCCGCTCTCCTGCAGATCAGCCATACACGAGTTCTGAGTGAGCTTTAATTAAATTCATTAGCCAGGGGTTTCTTATCAGATGTGACAGAGAGCTAATACAGTATCAGTCTGCGCTTCCCTGCCAGCATTCAATTAAATACGAGCTGGATTTCTTGTAATCACATAGCTTGCCATCTGCTCTGATTTTTAGTTGATTTTTAGTTAGTAGTTGAATAATAATAGGAATCACACAGTGACATATTGAGAGTCAGACCCCATGCAGGACGCTTAGACTCTTTCAGAACTGATAGGAGACTCTGTGTTTTTGGTTGCTTGTACCTAACATAGTGAAAGTGATTTAAGTGTTAATATCCATCAACTCATTTCATCCATAACTGCAGCATATATCTTAAAGTACATGTAAGTAATCTGACCCTAAACCCCTGACAGTATCAGACCTGTGGTGTAAGCACTGAGCTCCTATGAGGCAGTGTAGTTAAGTAAGAGCAGAAAAATGTATTTTGGCCAGGAAGGACGGTTAGATGAAGAAAAGAGAGCAATCCAATAAGGTCCTTTATCACTTGCACTTGATATTGATTGTGATCCAATAAGCTGAGTTAGCACAGAGGATGTGGAACAGAGTAATAAACAGAGCCTCTGTAGCCCTCTTGAAATTACATCTACATCCCACAGCTTTTGTTTCCAGTCTCACAAATGCTGGTAGTCAGAGAAACCACAGGTACAACAGAGGTCCATCGTACACCTTTATATAACAATTTATTTACAGATATATGCGAGTAAAACAGAACTAAAATGTGTATGTTTATAAGAGATTTTTTCTCTTTGTACATGGAATACTTGTAAATTGTAAATATCAAATTCAAATGATCAAAAAATTCTAGATGACATTGTCTCCTATCAGCCGTTCCAGGAGGACAGGCGATCCAGATCAAGCAGCATTTTATGCCTTATAGTGCTAACCTTTCATGAATGTTACAAGTGAGATTATGTTACAACAGAGATTATGACAATATGTGTGACATATCCCCTTTAACAATCAGAAAGCCTTGTTATTGTTTGTAGTAGCAAAAAGTTACCACATGATGTCACCCTTTGAGCACAGTCAACATCCCTGCTTGGTTCTCAGAAACATACACCTCCATGTTTCTGAAATCTTTTTTATTTTTTCTCTGCTATCTCCATAAACACACACACACACATATATATTTGGCATGGCACTCAATGTGAACTTAACATTTAGAGAAGAAAATGTTCAAGATTTACATGTTATAGAACATAGTGGTGATTAAAATATTGAGCTTTCTAGTGTGGCATAATGGTTGCATTTGTGAATGTATGTACATACTTGCTCACTGTGAAATTGGATACCTCAAGTTCAGTAAATGTAATCATTCTTCCCATGTATTACTCATCAAAACAACTGATTCTGCAAAAGTTTTGCCTTGGTATTATAGATTATATTGACATTTACTGCAGAACTATTTTCTACAAAATGAAACAACTAACCAGCATGGTCTTTACCATTGTTTGTTAGCCATGTTCTCAGCATGTGAGAGTCCTTATACCACTTCCCCACGCAAAAATCATCTAATTCTTCTGTGAAAACACAGTCACTAAACCAGTCATCTTTTCTTCTTGGCCTTGGATCCTTTGTCTGAGCCATGGTGAGATTGTATTTGTAACGAATGCTGTGCAGTTCAGCAGCATTGAAGTATTTGTTTGATCAAACTGATTCAAATGTCATCCCCAAGTAATAGAGGCTGGAGGAAGAGGCCAGCTGTTCCCAGGATGCACACAAGGACAAAAACCCAAAGAAAGATCCTGTCAATAACCATGGCAACGTACTTCCAGTCATCCTGAACCTGTTGGAGAATAAAAGTGAAAACATTTTCATTAGTTTGGTGACACTGTCATACTCTCCTTGACAGCAAATATCCTATAAAGCTCTAAAATCTAAAATGATTTTATGATTATGAGTACTCACCTCCTTCGCTTCATTCTGTAGTCTCATGTTCTCTGCTATGTATTTGACACTCTCAATAGCCTCTCTGACCTCAGGTGAGAGCGGCAACAGGGACATTATTCCTCCATCCAGAGATTCTGAGCTGGAGCACTGACTTTCCCCTCCGACCCCAACAGCACTGCCTCCAGTCAGTGCCCCCAAGCTGCCCAGCCCTCCACTCCCTCCCCCAGAGTCCGCAGGCAGTTTGCTGGATCTCTGGTGCCAGCAGCAGTTGCAACGGCCCTCGCAGCACAAGAAGGTGGAGCCTGCACCTTTGGCCGGGTCTCCACTTAAGTTATTGAGATTGGAGAGCTCTGTGTTGTTGAAAAGCCGTTGGCGGTTGGTCAGGCTGGACACCACGCTGGAGGCCAGGGCCTGAGGTTTGTGCTGCTTCTGCAAAGTACCTGATGAATGAATGGCACAGGGCCTTGAATGCACCGTCTGAACATTGCTGGCCGCTGCCACCATCTCAGGGTCCCTCTCTGGCCTAGTCATGAACATCACCCTGGGCAGCAGCCCCAGGAATACAGTTCGCACCCAGCAGGGCATAGTGTGGGTCTTTGGTGTGCGGTAGTGTACGTTCAGCACAAAGACAGTGATGACAATAGAGAGGGTGACAAAGATCATGGTGAAGAGGAGGTACTCACCAATCAGGGGGATGACTAGTGAGGTGGAGGGGATGGTCTCTGTGATGACGAGGAGGAAGACAGTTAAAGACAGCAGGACGGAGATACACAGAGTGACTTTCTCGCCGCAATCAGACGGCAGGTAAAAGACGAGCACGGTGAGGAAGGAGATGAGAAGGCAGGGGATGATCATGTTTATGGTGTAGAAAAGTGGCAGGCGGCGGATGTACAATGAGTAAGTGATATCCGTGTAGATTTCCTCACAGCAGTTGTACTTAATGTCATGTTTGTAACCAGGGGCATCGATGATCGTCCACTCGCCGGTCTCCCAGAAATCCTTGAGGTTAATAGTTGAGCCAATTAGCACCAGATCGATCTTGGCCTTGTCGTACGTCCAGGAGCCAAACTTCATGGTGCAGTTTTGGTAGTCGAAGGGGAAGTAGGTGACGTCAATCTTGCAGGAGCTCTTGAATATGGCTGGAGGGATCCAGGTGACATCACCATTGTACCGAAGCAGGGCCTTTGTTTTGTCATCAACCTGGAAATCTCCGACTGCACTGTAGAGAGTGAAGGAGTAGGAGAATAAAGCAGAAAGACAGAGTCACTGAAGATAAACTGAAGAATTTAATCAATTGACTATTGTGCCATGAAGGTATTAATCAAGACAGATGCCTTGTGGTTTCAGTAAATTGTACCCTTCAATGGTCCATACACCCTCCCTTAAGAATATGCAGAACAAAAAATGACCCATGCAAAAGGAGCAATGGAAAGCGATATAGCTTGTCATTGCTCGGCAATCCTTTATCGTAAACGCACCCAACAATCAATAAAGATGTTGAGCCAGGCTTTTAATTTGTTGTTACGCTCACTTGTTGTAGAGCACAATGTCTGGCTTCCATATCCTGTTGGACGGCACCCGGATAAACTCGACACCTCCAAAATCCTTTGGATTCCATCTGAGTTTGTAGTCATTCCAGATCTGAAAAACAAAACAGAATGATTAATTTACAATGAAAACAAGTCAGAAAAATTACAGGCAAATATTGGACAAATTAAAAATCAAATAAAAGAACCAGGGAACATGAATCCCTGAACCAAATTTCACAATTTCATGATTCCATCCTATAGTTGTTCAGACATTTCACTCAAAACCACAAATATCCATCTTTTGGCACTAGAGGAAATGTCAGGGGATCACCAAAGCCGTTATGATGTTTCCTTTAGGGACTATGAATGTCTTTATAAAATTTCATGGCAATCCAAACAGGCGGACCATCCAACAGACTGATCAAACATTACTAAAGCGAAATATCCCCTCAAAACCATCCCAGTCGCAAATGCCAGGACTCCACTTCAGCAAGCATAACTGTGGCGAGTGCATGCTTTCCATTCAGACAGTTTAAGCATAACAAGTTTGTTGTGAACAGTTTTATAAAGCTACAAAACTGATATAAAAGCAAGTCATATCCTCCTAGTAATTATTTTTTACTATGCAAATCTACTCTGGCTGATTTTAAACGCATTCTCTTGTAAAATGTCCCTCATAAAAACAAAGAGAAGTCGTCATCTCCAACTGTGCCATATAAACAGAGCTTACACAGTGTGTACTCTGAGAGGAGATATAACGAACCATAGTTTACTGTGTGTTTTATGGACCTTTTGGCTACTGATTTTGACCCTCTCTTGAGGACAGCCAGTGATCCTCGTGAGAGTCATAAAGCAAAAATAGTAAAGTAAACTCAGTGTGCTGTAATCATTTCACTTGAAGAGGATGTTCATGTTTATACATGTATTTTGGGTTTCTACTAGAACATTTTAACAGGCTTTATCAGTCAAACACACTTTATTTTCTTTATTCTGTCTTTGCTGTAACAACTGTATTCACCCTCCCTATTATGTTTTAGCGCCATTCTCTTTAGGCCAGCCTATCAAAAGCAATAGTGTACTCTGGTAGACTGGTAAGCATTTCCAGGTCTTCTGTATCTCTACATCTCTGCACTGACACTGTAGCCAGGAAATCACTAACAGAGAATAGCGGTACTTTCTACTGCTATGAAAAATCACCAATAAAAGCAGGAATATGATCCAAAATTGGAAGAAATTAACATCAGCCACCAAGATCACGCTTCCCTGATGTTAGCATGTGACTACATGTGGCAGTGTACTTGCAGCCAGGGAATGTCTGTGTACAGCAACACTTTCTCCTGTCATTACTATTAAAGCCTCTTAACACAACCAGACATGTTCCAGCAGGAATATGATCCAAAAGTTGATAGAAATTAACAATGCTGGCAACCAAGATTACATATTTCCTTGATGTTAGCATGTGGCTACATGTAGCAGTGTACTTGCAGCCACAGAATTACTGTGTATAGCAGCACTTTTTCCTGTAAGAATCACCAATAAAAGATTCTCAACCCAATCGGACATGTTCCAGCAGGAATATGATCTAAAGTTGGGAGAAATTAACATCAGCCACCAAGATCACATTTCCCTGATGTTAGTATATGGCTACATGTAGCAGTGTACTTGCACCCAGGGAATGACTGTATATAGCAGCACTTTCTCCTGTCAGAATCACCAATAAAAAATTTTCAACCCAATCTGACATTTTCCAGCAGGAATATAAACTAGTATAGGGAGAGAAATTAACGTCAGCCACCAAGATCACATGTTTCCCTGATGTTAGCATGTAGCTACATGTAGCAGTGTACTTGCGGCCAGGGAATGACTGTGTATAGCAGCACTTTCTCCTGTCATCACCATTAAAGCTTCTTAACACAACCAGACATGTTGCAGCAGGAATATGATCCCAAATTCGGGAGAAATTAACAATGCTGGCAACCAAGAGACAGGTTTCCCTGAAGTTAGCTTGGAGCTTCATGTGGCAGGGTAGGCTACATAAACCTCTGCAGTCGTGTGCCTGAAGCAGATGGCCATATAAAGAAATTTGTCATCAGCTTGTTTGGAAGTAGAATAAAATGTTGGAAAGCATAGTATTCAGCGAGGTCTGAAGCCTGAGATTTTTGCTCACAGGGATTATTTTACATACTATACCTTGGTAGTGAAAACTTTGGCCACATTTAATACAAACATGTGACATTGTAACAGAAATTATGTGAAATACATAACAGATAAAAGCATAATAGGTCCCCTTTACCTGATAAACACTATGTATCTAGAGTGTATCGTGAAATTTGGATGACCAGCAGGAGAAATGTGCACTCTGTTGTTTGTTCATTGTTTAGAGAGACTCCAAATGATCAGACATTAAAATAAGTGAAACAGTGCTTCAACTCTCAGCACCAAAGAGCAATTGCAGTTCAACCCTTTCACATGAACATGGCTCCACCACAGATGTGTATTCACTCAGCACTTGTAACGTGGGACCTGGAGACCTGCCCTGCCTCATTTGGTACAAAATTGGGTCACTGCACTATACATCATAGCAGCAGAAACACTGTGTGGGACTAAGTAGATGACAAAACCATCAAGCCATACAGCATGTATGGACATTGCTTTATTTTAGATCAGACTTGTTCTATGTGATTAAGAAATACAATTGAGGTTAAATCAAGTTTGAGCTTTCAGGTTCAGTGTGCTGCAGATGCTCGGAAGTTTCTGTCACTCTGGCAAAAGTAATATTATGTGTTTTGGCAACTATAATACATTTCTGACACTGTCTGATTATTTCTAAAAAATCATAAATTTGGCCATGAAATCTCAGTGCATTTGGTTCATAAGATTTTTTTTAAAAAACAGGACAAGAAGGATCAATGTGTTTAAAAAGCTTCCAAACATGAATAATTCAACTTGTCAGTCTAGTCCTGAAGAATCATGTATGACAGAAGGCTGGATCCATACTTGATGTCCTTGCTCAAGGTCCATTTGCACAGTCATGCACCAGAAACTTACATGTCTCAGCCACAGATTTGTCTCCATGATCTGATTGACTTCATCCTGAAAACAGAGCACAATTAATAATGAAGACATTTCAGCAAAGGAAAAAAAAACAACAACATCTTAACATCTTTAAGTTAAGACAGGAAGAACACTGTCACAGGCGATCATCCAATTCACCACTGAAGATTGTTTTTGTGCTTTCCGCAGGGTCAGACCTCTGCATATTCCGGACAAGGGGATTAAGAGACGCACACCTGGGTCCTCCATGCCTGGAACACAACCCACGTGATAGCTGGAGCCAGGGGGTCGCAGCACAGCCTTTACTTTTATTTTAACAACTCGGTGGCAAAGGTGGAGCAGAGGGACTAAAGTGTGTCTGTGTCTGTGTGAGTTGGACCGTGAATGAACCAATCTCATGACCCACTGCATAACATTAACCATTCATGTTATTATTTAGTATCAAGAAGAGGTTTTACATGGCTGGTAACTACAGGTGGACAGAGGGCCGCGGGACAATCTTCATTGGATTATCTTTGGAAGAATGGTGATATTACAGCTCTGTGACAGCCAACGCACACGTCCTGTACCTCATCATCAAGTGCGGCGACACAAAGAAAAATACCGTTATGTGATGGTGCAGATCAGCTGAACATTTACATAGAATTTAGAGTGGGTTTTTTCGTCAAGATGTACATTAAAAGCTTGGATATTTTCCCTCTGGCTGCAAGATTTTTGGAAGGGTTGAAATGTCAGAGGAGCATCTTTTCACCACGTTCTGTATCTTGGGAATATCATTTTAGGCCTACACCCGAAACATGATTGACCATGTGATCTGATGTAGTGATCAGACCTAAGATTTAAAGGAAAAGTGTAAAACTGTGGAAGATACGCTTATTTGCGTTGCCAGGAGTTGGATGAATACCACACATATCTGTGCATTATATGGGCTATGAAGCTACAGCCAGCACACAGCGAGCCTGTTATTTCTTGGTCAAGTTGTGTATACACTTAGGTTTTTGTACAGAATAAACAAATCAGAAATAACAAGTGCATTAGTGAGCTTTAGCAATGCTGGTAGACAGATTTTGTGACCTTTAGAAAGAGCCAGGCTATAGCTGTTTGCCCCTGTTAAGCTAAGGTAACTGATTCCTGTATATGGCTTCATATCTGATGGACAGACATGAACGTGGTGTGGATGTTCTCCTCTAACTCTTGCATTAACCAGACTAAGTACATTTACCAAAATGTCAATCTATTTCTTTAAAGAAAACTCTCTGTAACCACACTGCCACCTTCTCTGACACCCTCAGGCATGGAACCTGTGATATGATCCCTGATTGCAGGATGATGACTGAGCCACCCCAGGCGATGAGCTATTGATGATCTAAATGAGCTCATTTAGCCCTGCTGTAATTGGTGTAGGCTGACCAAGACCAATTGCATCTGGGTTGGGAGCACCAGGTGTGGGGAGGAAATAATAGTCATCCATCAGTACAGGGAAAGCAGCAGCAGCCTGCTACATCAACTGAGTTAAGGAGAACATAGCAAAATACACTTTATCTCTTTGGCATCTCTAGATCCAGACAGGTCCTCAATACTTATCTTGCTCCTCAGAGAAAGAAAAAACAAGATTGCCTGCAGGCAAAAGGCAAAGGAGAACAGATTGAGATGGGCTCCAGTGTGTCAGACCCCACATTATAAATTCAGATGGTCTTGAACAGAGCTTGTGTGTAGGCTGCATACATAGTGACATACTTTAATTACATTGGCTGATACTTTTTAAACTGAATATTACAATTTAAAGAAATAGTTCAACATTTTAGGAAACATTTTCAGTCTTAATGCTAAGCTAAGCTAACGAGTCTCCTTGCTGTAGCTTTGTATGTACTGTACACTCAAGGGCTGTATCAATCTTCTCATTTAAATCTTAAATAATAATAAAATAAGTGGGTTTCCCAAAATTTCTGACCATTTCTTTTCATGTGAAACAATTTGATGGAGCCTACAGTATATCTAAAGACTGTTTTCTTCTCAATAACAAATAGATGGTTTCAGTAAAATGTCTCAAATAAAAGAGCCGATCAGCATCTCCTCTTGTCATTCAACACAAGCAGAGTGACTAATGTGACAGAGACCAATATGTCCAAGGCCGTTAATGTTGTGAATGAAGCTGTCCTCCCTGTCCAACGCCAGCCTCTTTATGTAATCATCAACATCTGCTCTAGACCTGTCTGAGTATTTGTCTGCCCCGTCAGTCTGAAGTCCACGAGCTCCAGCGAAACCTGCTGTTAAATCCAGAGGTGCTCATCTGAAGTGGCAGTGACTGAGTGATAGAGGCTGCCTAAACTGAGAGGTGCTCAGACAGCTGACATTCCCCATCTTGTCTCGGCCGGCGAAACAGCCACACAGCCCCCTCTTTCATCTAGTAGTTCCCCTCTCAGGATTAGAAACCAGGGTCGGTACTGTGCACTGGCAGGGAGTGTCTCAGATGTCTCAAATGGCATCTCAATCATCCCCTTCTTTAAAACTTTGTTGCCAAAAGTCCACAAATCAACACACACAATCTTTTTATATTTGGTTCTGTCTATGTTATTCCTTGATTTTTCTCACAGGTCATGAATGGTCATTAAGCTACAGACACCAGCCAACAGTGCAAAAATTAAACATTTTTACTCACCACTTTGACCAGCTGTGACATGGACACCTCGAACTGTACAATGACTGGGTCGGTCACATTTTCCACGGGTCGTATGTACTGGTTGTAGTTGGAGAATATCCCAGAGAAGAGCCTGTGCTCTGCATCTGAACAGGAGCCTCCTGGATAAGAGCAGAGGGTCAGACATGGATCTGTCACTGCGATGTGTTTCACAATACAGCTGGGTTACAAGGTGACAAACAGCCAGATGACTGTTTGTTAGTCATCAGTACAGGGGAGCAGTGTACGCCTTCATATCAAACCTATATCAGTACAATGATTACAATTATAACCACTTTTGTTAAGTCAGAGTGTTGCCTTCAATCTGGCTGTGTTGATGTAATTTATTTGCAATGTGCCCCTCAGTGTAAAGAATATTAATAAATGCATTATTTTAAAGGAATAACAACAACAGCCTAAAGTCATCATTTATTATGTTGACTTCCCAGTATGTTTGCCTTGCATAGGATTTTAATGTGAGCATGTGGTGATTTCAAAATGCCTTTTTTTATATAGGTAATCTACCACTAAAAAGTGCATTATGAATAGTGCCAGACAGTATGTTGAACACATGCATTTAAGCAACAAGTAAGTAACAAGACGTTATAGAAGCTCATCACTCACCTGGCAGAAGAAACAGGAGGAAGGAACATGGGGGCAAAACGAAGCAAAAATTGGCTTTCATCCCGTTTGAAATGACAGATTTAAATAGTATGCAGGGTCAGCAGCGGCGGCGGCGGCGGCGCTCCGCGGAGCAGACAGGAGGAGAAAGTAGGGAGAGTGAAAGCGCGTCTGCAGCTTCAGAGAGCCAGGGAGCAGAGGGAGGGAGGCTGAGCCACACTGAGGCACAGTCATTGAGAGGAGGCACTCTGCACTGCAAAAAATGCGCAACCTACAGCGGCCTGATCTGATAAAACAGGGACAAAAACTGGTCTGTGGTGCGAAATCTCCACTTGAGGATCACAACAGGCTTGTGCTGGTTACAGCTGGATCCTTTGGTTTCTCATGACAGGATGTGTCTACTTTGTTTTTACAGTCTACTCAGAGGCCACAGTTTTGTCTTTAAGTCTTGGAATCAACGAAAACGCCAACTGACTGAAATTATATTATTTGTTTGAACACACTATACAGAAAACTTCTTTCTGTATATATAAAGTGGGAGGTTTGGGGGACAGAAAACTGTCCTTTCAAAGACATGTACAATGCTTTTTCCCAGTAAGCTTCTTACTGTGAGTTGTAGGATGCTGCATGAAAAATATGTTTTCCATCAAAGTTGATTGTTTGTTAGTTTTTTGACATGAGATAATGGTCTGAAGTGGGCGGTACTCCCTCTGGAAAAGGGTGATGTGGCTCATTTCAGTGTGCCAGTCGGGATTTGGCAGCATTTGAATCTGATGACAGTTTATGGGCAGCTACCATAGGCGCAGATTTTGGGGGGACGCAGGGGACACATCCTCCTCAATATTTAGGATATGAATTTGCACTTCCCAATAAAAACATGAAAGATTAATTTTATTTTGACAAAATGAAATACTGTAGGGACGCCCACATTCCCCAGCTTGCTTTTTGTCACTGTTTGTGGTGTGTCTGTTCAGAACATGGGGGTTTATGCTTGTTATTGTCACTTGTATGTTAATTTAAAGATTGTACCATTAATGAGTTGGCTATTCCACTTCATGACACCAGCTGTATTTTTCCACTGAATGTTTGAATCTGATATAAATCTGTGACATATAACAAACATACATAGTACATGAACATTTTACTTGTTCTCTGTGAAAACATTGTCACAATACATTTACACCATTTGCCTTAGGGCCAAAAAGACACATATTGATGCATAAAAATTTAAGAGAATGCAGGAAATTAAGTAATTGATGCCCATAATTATCTGGTGGAGGAACCCTGATCCCCTTGTTTCACACATCTCTCCAAATGTTTAAACCAAAGCTGTGCCCTTTGCAGTTACTATAAAAAGAAAACATATATAAGATCCGCACACCAAGTAAAGCTCCCGTCAAAATGACATTTATTATAGCAGTGACGTTTTGAGGCCTCAGGCTCTTCTTCAGACTTTGCAGTTACTGACAATCAGATTGTAGTGAAACAGATTAGCCGAGGTTTTGAGTGCTACACTCTTAACAAACAATGCTTATGTTCTGAGATGTTTTTAACTTTGTTGTTTAGTTAGATATAAATAAATGATGTTACAAATAAAGTTTCAGGGCAGTGAACATGGACAGTAGATGTCCATATTAGATTACCAAACAGCCACCAGTTAAGATCAATAGTCTCTGCATATGTGCTACTGGGTTGGTGTGTCCTCAGTGACAGCTTGTGAGTATAACAGAATTAATGCTGATTGACCGATTGATTCTTTATTGATTTTGATTTTCATCTAGCATCCGGTGTTTTTCTTTTTTTCATGTACATATCAATATGGAAAGCCCACTTCTCATAGGGGTATAGCTCTGTCTTTGACTCTGGCTGTCCTTCTGTCTGTCTTCACTGTCAGTTCAGAGGAGCATATTTCTTTCCTTCAGTCAGCGGGGTGGCTCAAAGGTTTGACAGTTCTGTCCTTCAGCTGGATGAAGGAGAGGTCCAAGTGCTTTTCAGCAAACATCCACTGGGTTGAAGTGCCCTCAGATGATAGATAAATCCCACCAGCACCAGAGATGCTGTTTGGTGTCTGACCCTGTGCTCCCAACTCCTTTAAGTGGGGCAAGTGAAAAGAGAATTGCCCCCATGGGAGATTAATATAGGAATACATTACACATGGAAGTAGAAATAAATGTTAATTTGACCTTCATTCTCCCAGACAGTGCAGAGTTTAAATGAGGTTGTTTGTTCACCAACCCATTGAGGACTTCAGCTGAGGCTCGGGTCATTTAACAAAACTACCTTTAGTGACAAACAGCTTCCAAACTTCTCATGCTGCAAAGGCTATCCTGCACATTTAAAAAGACTTGGAGTGGAACATGTCATTTTGACTGAACCCCCACATTTGCAAGGACTATATTATGGTAGATCTTTGTCGGAAACTCATAAACGCTTGCTTATCCGGCAGGACAGTTGTCAAGGACAATGCTTCCATGCATATCTTATTAGAGACTAATGACAAAAGGCTGCTGACATAAGGCTCGTGATTTATGGGACCTTCCATCGAGTGTTGAATGACGACTCCTCCCGCTTTGTTTAGACTGGAACAGATGATAAATTGTTGATTGAAATGCTGCTGCACTGTGTGTCTTCACTAATGACAGGCAGCTAACAGGTAAATAGAGACAGCCATGAATGATCTTGAGAACTGTGAACAGAGATTAAAGTTTGGCATCAACATAGAGACTGATTACTGTTTCTTGATTTCAGTGAAGGTCTCACAAAAGAACCAACAGTCGGCAGAATCTCTGACGAGCCCACTCAGCACTGTTTATTGAGCAGTAAACATGTCCTGGTGTGTGTGTGTGTGTGTGTGTGTGTGTGTGTGTGTGTGTGTGTGTGTCTGTGTGTGGCAGTGTGTGAGGGTTCAGTTCAGCATGGGTTTTGTGAAGCATCATTTATGTGTCTGTACAAATAAGCACTTAACAGAGATCAGCTCAAGGTACAAATGAGCGGCCAAAAGATTCCAGTGTCTGAAACACTGCTTCAGGATATGTGTCAGGACTGTAATAAGGCTATAATTATGGCAAAAGTCCTATGCCTCAAGACATTGTAGTCCAGATCAGCTCCATCTCCGACAGTTTTGTTGTATCAACATTATTTTTTGCCTGCTCACACACTCTCACATTTCAAGCGAACAGCTGTCTTAACTATGTGATGAAATGTTCCAACTGGCACATCTTCAGCGAGCGTATTGGCGCCGAGGACAAACTTTATCACCGGCAACATAGATTAACTAACCACTTTGGCAAGACCCTGACAATTTTAAGACTTTATTGGGGGTTTCATATATTTAATCAAACTGAGAGCTGACATTATCCATTCTTTAATCACACATCACATTTCAATGACATGGTCATTTAACTTAGACACAAATAAGGAGTCGAACAACATCTGACAGCAGACGGATGTTCTTCATATTTCAGACATATGGTATATTTCTGCAACATTTCAGTATACTTTAGTGCAGTGAAAGCTACATTCTGTCCAGTTCTGCAGCTTTCCTTTGAAGACATGAAGAGGAATGACCCCAGTGCAATGATGCTATATTAGGCCCCTTGTAGATGTATCTTTTCCTCAAAAACTGGGTGCTGTAGATGGTTGTGGAACATGTAGTTTTGATTATTAGGAGATACTACAGGCTACAGGCCTGCATCTGCTTATAAGAATACTTATCCTACCAGCTTGATTGCTGCAAAAAACAACAACAAAAAAACAAAACTAAAACTCGCCCTGTCTTCTTTGTTGCTCATCATATGCGAGGAGTGTCTGAGCTGGGCTGCTGGCTGTGAACAATGTGACTTTGGAAGACAGGCTGGAGAAATAAGCCCAGGGTGCCCACCACACACACGATCACAAAGATCCACAGGAACATACGATCCACCACCATAGCCACATACTTCCAGTCCTCTATGACCTGCAAATATACAGAAATGAAATTAGAATTAGTCAGTGTTTATGTTTCTCACCACAGCAGACTTTACACAGGCATTTATTGTGAGAAACCAGCAGAATGCAATGTGCTAAGACTAAATAATCCTGCTTCAGTGTGTCGGCTCTGGATGCTGCCATGCCTCTGTGCAACCACTCGGGGGCAGAGAGTGTAACTGACTGAATGAATGAGTGAAGAGGTGTGAATCTAGGCACTTCACATCCAAAAGACTGTAACCCTGTTGGCACATGATGTCAGTATGTCTTCTAATCTATTGTATTTGCTTGCAATTGAATTGTATTGTATTGGACCATAAGGTGTTCTGGGGTTTACTTTTTCATATATGTGTTACATTCATTCATACCAATAATATTGCTTAGTATAAGTAAGCTTATTCTTAGGATGCTGACTGCTGACATAGTGAAGATATATATCTGTAAGGACCTGCTGAAACCAACGCTGAAATAACTTTTGACCCTTTCACCTCATTTTCAGGGCCGACCTTGATAGTTTTTGAAACGAGTCATACCTCATTCCTGGTTCCCTCCTTATTTTATTGATTTATCAGGCAAACAGATTGATTACTATAAGTCTACCTTCAATTTTCCAGGTCACAGCCACTACTTAAGGTTAGTGGTGCTCCTTACCACTGGTCAGGGGTCACAGAATGTACATCAAATGTAACCACACCGGTCCAAACACCTTTGATCCAGTTTATTGGGATCAGGATAAATGGAGGAGCAGGGTGCTGACAGTGGAGAGTATTTGTGAAAAATTTTCAAAATAGCTAATTCAGCTATACTGTTGGCAAAGCATAACAACTCTATGCAAAGTTATTTTAGCTACTAACCTTTAACCGTATCACAAGATAATATAATGTCCAGTTATATTGACTCATAATTATACTGATGCCAGAAAATAAGGGTAATATTCACAAATAAAGACATTTTTGTTTGTGGTGAAAATATTCATTATTCATTAGACAAAACATCTATCTTTCTTAAAGGAACAATGTGTAGGATTTAGGGGGATTTAGTGGCACCTAGTGGTGAGGACTGATGATTATAAACAGCTGTAACTTCTTCCAATTAGAAGAAGTGTTTTTTGTTGAGGAGGTTTTTACGACGAGCCGAATTCTTCGCAGAGGTCTCTTCCTCTCCATCAGAAAAGGTGATTTAAACTGGTAAAAACACTGAACAAAGCAGTTCACTACATATCAGTTTTTCTCTGACAGTTTGGCATGTTGAAGATTGGGCGCTAATGCCTTCTAATGTGCACTCACTTCTTTTCTCTGATAACTTATGATCCAGACGTTAAGGAGGTTTTTACGTTACCTAAAAAAATGTCTTCTGTTTAAATTCCAAGGCTCTCGTCACAGAGGGAATGCTAACTGTGGTGGCTAATGCAGTAATGTGAATGTCCTTATCTAGAGCCAGTGTTTAGTTTGTCTGTTCTAAGATACTCTAGAAACATGGTGATGCGATATGGTGATCTCCATAGACGAGGGCCCATTCCATATTTAGACATAAATGGCTCATTGTAAGGTAATGAAAAGCACAACAATTCTTATTTTCAGTTAACTGTACACTAGAAAAGGCATACATATTATATCATATTCTATTTCTGCCAATGTATCCCCCTAAATCCCACATAATGTACTTTTAAATCCTTGAATTTCAGGAGTGAAATTATTTACTGACACAACAAATTTAGCAAAAAACTTGGCTTCAGCACCATTTAGATGCAATAAAACATTGGTTTTAAATGTTTTAAATGTTAATACATACACTCTGATCATCATCATCTCCCATCATGTGCTCGGCCACAAAGCGCACCCCGTTCACCGCCTCTTGGACATCGGCAGCCCAATCTGAGCTGCTTCTCTGCTGGAGGTCCTGGGTAGAAGTGAAACCACTGGGAAGGTAATCAGTGGAGCGTAAGTCTGCCTTCCTGTTAGAATAAGTGTAGCCCAGCGGAGGAGGCACATTTTTGTGTCCTGGGGTGGAGAAAGCAGAGTCGGAGGACAGCAGGGCAGAAGACGACATGGTGATACCTGCTTTGGATGCGACTGGGTAACCCAAGCCCAAAATAGCTCTCCTCGCCCGTAGACATCGCTGCTGGCGAAGTCTCTGGCGTGCAGAGTTATTCTGAGGGCGCTTCATGAAGAGTAAGGCAGGCAGTTTGACAAGAAATATCAGCTTGACCCAGGCAGGCATGGTGTGGGTGCTGGGAGAGCGGTGGTGCACATTGAGCACGCACACACTGGTGATGATGGAGAAGGTCACAAGCACCATGGTGAACATCAGGTACTTGCCTATCAGGGGCACATCCAGTGAGGTGGGAGGAACAATCTTTGAGATCAAAAGCAAGAACACAGTGAGAGCCAATAGGACGGAGATGCAGAGAGTCATCTTCTCCCCACAGTCTGAAGGTAAGTAAAAGACCAGGATGGCCAGAGACGTGATCAAAACACAGGGAATAATGAGATTTATGGTGTAAAAAAGGGGCTTCCTCTTGATGATGAAGTCGTATGTGAGGTCCACATAGGTAGGATCCAGAGGGTTGACAGTCCGTCTGCCTGGCAGCGCCAAGATATCCCACTCCCCACTGGGAGTAAAATCATCCATACTAGCCACCTCAGACTTCAAGATCAGATCAATCTCTGTGTGGTCATACGTCCAAGAGCGGAACTTGAGGGTACAGTTCTGCTGGTCAAAGGGAAAATGCTTGACCTCGATCTTACAGGCGCTTTTGTAGATGGCTGGAGGAAGCCAGTTAATGCTGCCATTGAAAAGGACAATGGCATTGGTGAAGACTGTTACCTCATAGGTACCATCGGCGCTATAATAAGAGGAAGAAAGAGAAAGAAAACTTTAGAGAGCCTGTGAATCAATGTCTGGGGCTTGTGTTATCAACCCTTAAGTGAAGTGGAGATAAGAGGAAAGCTGCTCATACTGAAAATTTGTATTGGTCATTTCCTGCAGCCAGTGACAGTCAAATCAATATCAAAACCAAAATCCTCAGAGGAAAGACTAAAACCTTTCATCATATATAAACTCTATTGAGGCTACAGAGAATTGGCAGAAATATGTTGATCATGAACAGAAAGCATCTTAATCATCTTAAATGTCTGGCTATAGGAGAAAGTTTTCCACTCCAATCCAGAAAGCATAGAATAAACCTTAGTAAACATATAAGCCATTTGAAGGAGTCTTTCAGTTACTAAGAAATGACATTTCACTTAGAGTTCTGGTCCAGCACCTACTGCATGAAAACAGCAAACTGAAGACTCCAAGACTGAAATACACACTGTGGGAAAAGTAAGGTATTTTTAGGATATTGCTGTTTAGTGTTAGGTTGTTCCCTTTGACAAGGTATAAACTTGATGTCAGAAAAAACAGTCTACTGCCAGCGCTAAGCATGGACTGCAGCATTCAAACAAAAGAACTGGACACCGTCAGGAAACTTCAGGAACTGTATCATGTATTTCACTACAGGTAACTTAGCTTGCTCAGCTAACGGTTCACCCGCTAACTAAGCTTCGACTAAGGGGGAGAGGAGCATTTGTGTTAGTGTGAACCATGTGTCTGTCTTGTCATTTTCATTCTCCAGAAAAATGTGAAACTTTCTGGTAATGAAATGAGCACTACAGAGCCTGGAGTTTCCCGACGGTGTCCAGTTCTTTTGTCTTAAAGCTGCAATCCAAGCTTTGCACTAGTTCATTTCTTAAGCAAAGCAGTAGACTTGTATTTCTGACATCATGTACCTTGTTGAAGGGAACAACATTCCATTAAGCAGCAAGGTCCTAAAACTAATTTTGCCATTTCCTTCAGTGTGTATTTCAGTTCAGGAGGTCTAACTTTAACCAACTTTTTTTGGGCAGTAGTAGCTGGAAGACTGGAACGATTTGGTTTCCTACTAACCGAAAGACGCCTTGAAAAAAGTCTGTACAGATTCTCCTATATATTTATCATCTGTTCTTGCACATAAGCACGTAAAATCCATTTGTAACCTCACACTATGACATGCCAGTGATGCTTACTTGTTGTATAGGACAATATCTGGGAGCCAGATGTGTCTGGAGGGAATGCGCAGCTTGTCGATACCTTCATACTCTGCAGGGTCCCATGACAACCTGTAATCCACCCAGTGCTGGAAAGACAGAGAGACCTGGCCATCAAGTCCGCCTTCCACACACTTTCTCAAGACCAGCTTATATCTAATTACATGCTTCATTATCAGGAAAGCATATGTGGAGCACAATTACAGAAGCAGTTTGTTCCACATTGAGAGACAGGAAGAATGGATATGGTTTAATTCAAGTTCAGGGGGAAGGACATTTACCAAGACCTAGGCTGATTGAGAGTATACGTGACTCTGGGATTCATCACACTTACCTGAGTGAGCCAGACATTTGTGGTCATGATCTGCTCTCTTTCATTCTGGAAATGTACAAGTGAGGTGGAAATTACTTTCAGAGCAGTTTTCATGCACAAATACAGCTGTAATTGTATATTGAAAGATAACTACATGTTTGCTGACCCTGAACACTGATTAAAGCTATGGCTTGTTCAGGACACTTTCATAGTGATTCTCAGTCAGAGGCACTTGTACCCCTGGGGGCTCAACTGTAAATATCATGGAATAGCTCAAATGAAAATTACGACTGAATCAGAAAATATGTATATACACACACATATTTGTGTGAAGGATGAAAATAAAAAGCCACATATGATTACAAATGGATGTGATGCTGAGCTTTAATATATCCATGAGAATGTGAAGGTACAACGCTATGTGGACGCTGTGTGAGATGGCTGGGGACACCATTTTGTGAGGTATGCACTCTGTTACCACTATCACCAAAGTGTATGCAAAATGAGATAGTCTGGGTATGTGAGCTAGTGCATCAGGATCAGTAATCCAGCCTCGGACTGGCAAGTCATATGGATCTATGTTGTTTATCGTGATTACTTTGTCAGAATACCCTGGCTTTATCACCGTAGCAGGCACAGGTAACAGAGCATGGTCCTCATCAGATGGCGTCCCTGTCCAAAAAAATGACTAATGGACAAATGGCTGAAACATTTAGCTGAAATTTATGGATGACTTGTAAGAATAGCTAAATGGATAAAAAAGAAAGATTTAATGATATCCTCTTTTCTGTGGGCAAATCTATAGTGTTCAATAACATCCCGTTTAAAAGTCAATTCCAAACTACAACTATCGCCTCATGATTGTATGCCTCCACAAACCAGTCAAGTTACTTTTACAGTTCATGTCCATTACTGTCAAGACTCATACAGTATGTAGCCACTTCAGATGACAGTGCTTCAAATATGGATGTTGCTGCAAAGAAGCTACATATTCTAAATCATGCATGCTTCACACACATCTTCAACCCTACAGCACAGAAGATCACAACAGTTTCAAGATGGACACCCAGGATAAGTGTCACCAATTGAGTATGTGACTAAATGTCTCCCCATCTGTTCCAGAGAACAGAAACAGGAAAATCTTTGTCAAGCCATTTTTGAGATATTGCAATCATGAGAATGGGACAGACGCAAGGTCACAATAACCTTGACTTTTGACCACCAAAATCTTATCAGTTCATTATTTGTGTCAGAGTTGAAGAAATTTCTTCAAGGCATTGTTGAGATATCACATTCATGATAATGAGATGGACGAGGTCAAAGCAGCTTTGACTTTTGACCTTTGATAACCAAAATGTAATATGTTTGAGTCCAAGTGGATGTTCGTGCAAAAATTTAAGAAATTCCCTCAAAGCATTTTTGAGTGCCAGACAAACAAAAAAGCTTTAGAATCACTGCTGGCAAAACATGACTGTTATTGCCAACTGGAGAACACTTTCACTAAATATTACTGCTGCTTCCACAATGATAAAGTAACTGAAAATAGGCCGTCGGTAGTGTAGTGGATAGTGCCAGCGCCCCATCTACAGAGGCACTGCCTCACTGCGGCGGTTGCGGGTTTGGTTCCGGCTTGCAGCCCTTTGCTGCATGTCACTCCCCACTTTCTCTCTGTCTCCCCATTTCACTCACTGTCCTGTCCATTAAAGGCAAAAAGCCCACAAAAATAATCTTAAAAAGTAGTCTAGCAACAAATACATAACAACAATGAATTACCATCTTGACTGGACAGTGCCAGCATCTAAACAGCTACATTCTGGCTCTTGCTACTTTCATTGCAAAGCCATACATGTCAAGATTTTAGGACAGAGTTATTGTAACACTAATTATCTTCAGATGAACCCCTGTGCTTACTGTCATACTCTATTCCTCCAGTTTTACGTGAGGTAAAAAAACTGCATTTAAATCCTCCCCTCTTCTTAGATTGGTTGTTAACATGTTTGTTGATGGCATTGTCATCACCCTCCCATGACATACTCATCCAATAAAGTGATACCAAATGTCAATTACTCCAAGGGGTACAATGCAAACTCATAAAGTGAGGCTATGAATGAGCCTTGTTGCCTGGGTCTGCAGCTGGGAGGAGCCTCTGCTGTAAATCAGAGGAGAACCTCTGTCACTGTGGCTAAAACAGCTTTATGGCCCCTTTTAATCCAATGTGCTGAAGTTTCAATCTGGACATGACAGAGGCAGAGATCACAGCTGACCACATCTATCCTCCACTTCATCCATCCATTTAGAGCTACGGCCTCTCCGCACAGGCCGGTTGGTAACTGACTGCTTTCTCAAAGCAGCTCTTTCTTTCAGTCTGTCTTTCTTTTTTTGTCTCCCTCTTTGTCTCCCCAACACATATTCTCTCCCTCACACACACAGATACATACACATAAATAAATACACACACATCCTCATGGTGGGCAGTAGTAATTGGTGCCTTACCACGCTGATGAGCTGGGCTAGAGACACTTGTAGCTTGACCGGGACTCTCTCGGTCCTGTTGACAGCCGGGCGGATGAGCGGATTGTATCGATCCTTTCCCAGCAACCAGTTCATGAGACGCTCCTCTGAGTCAGCACAGCTGCTGCCTGGTGACATGATTTTGTTCAGTGATTTTTTAATGCAAAGGTAGTGTCCAAAACACCCAGACTACCAGTATCAAGACAAAACCTTATGAGGAAACAGACAGGGTGTTCCACAGACAGAGACGACATGCTCTGATCCCTTAAAGGAATAATCTCAAGTTACTTTTGTGCATCTCTGACATACTTTTGTGTATTTCTTCACAGTCCATGCCACTTGTTTTCATACAATACTGTATGCTGCTATATTTTCCACTGATTTCCAAGCCATTCAATCCATTAGGACCATCTCAATTACAGATTGGCTCCATGTACTCCACTGCTGAGTTGGTTGTTTAAAGCCACTACATTCAGCTGTCACTTTGAACTATATTTGAAATTAAGAATGGAGCTGTCTGGAAATCATAAGTGGCTAATGTACTACAGAGGTTTCCCATTATGGTCCAAACAATCCAAGTTTCTGCTGTTTTGCTTTCCTGCCATTCTGGGGATCCAGAGATGAGACAGCAGGCCTTTATGACAATTTAAAAACAAAATTTAAGTGTGCCATAAAAAGATTATTTTAATGTACCAACACAATTACTAGACACAATGTTGATATTGTACAATTTAGCAAAAACCCGCATTACTCTCAGTGCTGATATGTGGCAACTACAATATTATGAGAGTGAGTTTAAGTCACGGTGAAACTTAAGTCTGAGCGTCTTAAGCTTCGGTAATGTGATTTATTTCCACCTGAAGTGAAATATGTGGACGGGGAATTGAAAGCTGAATGTAAATCAGGGTCTTCATATTTGATTGGATAACTCAAACTGGGCATGGCTTAGCAAATATGATAAATACAGTTATCTCCAAATCACATTTGATAGCATACATTTCTGTGTATGCCCATTTTTCTCACTTGTATGTTTTTAATCATTATTTCATTGCATCTTTAAGGTAAGGGAAAGATTGTGTTTACATTATTTAAAGGCTAACATTTACACTAGGTCCATGACAGCACACAAACTGATGGTCTACATGAAAGCTGGAAGCCACATGATTATCCATCACTTCACACCTCATTCTCTCCCTCTTTACATTTGGGTCCACTACTTCCTGCTTTGCCCCTGAATGACGGCATCATACGATACTGGTCCAATACCAATGTAATTCACAGTGATACATGAGCTACATGTAGACAGGTGTACCCTCTCTCCCTGCCGCTGTGCTAAAATACTGAAAAACTCTGAAATGTAAGTGAACATATGTTATGCAAAATACTGTTCCTCCTCTATCCATTAACCCGAATGTGTCAGACTGCTTCATACAAACTGTACGTATAGCTTTCCAAGTCTTAAGGGAAACAGCAGCTGTCAATTGAGAAAGCCAGGGATGGCTGTGTCGTGGAAATTACACCAAAATGTAATGAAGGCCCTAAAGTCATTTCCAAATAAGTAATTACATTTGGGATGAGGGCAAATATTTTCACAGCATGTTAATAATTCTGCTTGTGCCTAAAGCCAAAGCACTGGATGTATCTTTTCAAGTGAGAATAAGTTGTGAATACCAACACTTAAACTCAGCCTCCATCCCTCCTCGCTGATAAATGACGCCTGTGTCAGGGGTGAAGACAAGCCTGATTGAAACTGATGACCTGTGCTTCTCATCAGGAGCAGAATGAATATATGTAGCACTACCTCTTCCATTTTCTTTACATGCAGCTGGTTATTAATGCCCCCACATGGTCTGGAGTCGCTGAGTCGACTGACTCGTGAGAAACACTCCAATGAGGTGAGACTCTTACTGATGGGCCTGTTGAAGAAGAATTGCTACTGTTGTCAATATTCAGCAGAGTGATATTCATGGCTCCACAACTTCACAGAATCAGCACATGTGGCTAATGTGAAAAACCTGTGATGGTGCAGTGTACTAAAAGTAACAACAATGTCAGACTTCCAACTTTAATGCTCCTCCTCGTGCTCAGTATCAAACTGTGTATGCTATTATCAGCCCACAGCCTCCTGGAGCTTTGCAGGGCGTGGCATGCTAACAGTCTAGCCCCACGGGTCAGCACATGCTGCCACGACTGTGCCTTTGTCACTTGGCTGAAGTCCCATCTAACACAGTCGGGCCTCCACAGCACTCTATAACAGATGGTGTGTTGTCAAAGCCCTCGGAGACCTGAGTCAAACAAGCTCTGCCTTCCCCAGAGGTGAAGGCCACTGGCAATCCACCCAAACTTGTGATTAACTGCTGTGAACTGGCACTGGTGGGTGTAAGTGTGTGTGTAGGTTTAATGTGTAAAATGTACAGCGCCTCATAAGTGTTGGTCTGACATTACGTTGATTGAGAGTGAGGTCAGGCGTGTTAATACAGTGCTAGAGTCAGCCGTTACGGAGTTGATAAGGTCACTCTGCACAGCACACTGAAAAACATTATTTTGCAAAAATGCAATATGGCTGGAGACCAGAGAGAATAATGACGTGTGAGAATGAACCAAAACATGGGGCAAAGGTCAAGTGAGGAGTTACAAAGCCACCTATTTTCTTCTTTTTCTTTGTGTCCCACCTCCTATTTGATATTCAGTATTAATAAGGCCAAATATTCTTCTTTGTCTTTAATATGGAGTGAAAACAAGTACAAAGCTTTGTCTGTGTGACACACATGAGGATTCATCACTTAAATGGCAGAATACTTACAGGAAGTGTGACAGTATGAGGTACTCTTTTCATTTACTAAATATCCTGTGAGACACAGTATAAACTTTGAGACCCACTGATCTCACCAAGTAAACCCACTTTGGTCATGTGAAATAGGGATGTGGAAGAAGGTAAGAAAAGGAAGGAAAGCACAAAAGTTTCCTGAAACTGTTCCTTGTACAAGTTCAGGAAGCTGTTTCTGGTACTGTGTACACTTCTCTGGTGTATACCGTTATATTGGTTGTGACCCTGCACTAAAAATCTCAAACCTTTCTATGAGTACTGATTGCTGATTTGGTGACCACAGGCCACATTTGATAGCAGGACTGAGTCATCAAATAGCTCCTGAGACTCTGTTGAAACACAGAAGTATCATTTTTCAGCTAAACCTGCAAAAAATGTTTTTTATGCTATCCACCATGCATATTAAAATACCAAAATGTTTCACATTAATTTTAAAATTAAAGCATCTTTTTGGAGCATCTGCATCTTTTGTTACAGTTAAAGCTGATGAAAACTTAAACTCAATATTAAAAAGTCCGACTTTGGGACCCTAAAGAAAGACAGTTCTCACCAGACAGAAGCACTTTCACCCAAATACATTTTGGAGGAGACACACAGATAAACGCACATGCCAGAAAAAGCCCAAATTGCTAAGTTAAGTTGCTGAGCGTAAAGAAAGACACACTTACAGTGGATCACAGAGAAAAAGTAAGCAAGGATGGAGAGAGCCCGAGTCATTTTTTCGGCACCATCTGATCCGCGGGAGCTGTCACTGATGAAGCGTCAAAGCTGCGGGGTTCAGAGCTCTTCCTCTCGGACATGCCGGAATCCACGCGCTCGCGGTTTGGACACTCAACCAGCACTGTGCTGATGCCTGAAGAAGAGATCATTGACCGCAGAGCGCGATCTGTTGCTCCGTGGTGGGGTTATCCGCCCCATGAAATGCACCAAGTCTCCTCTAGGCAAACGGGTCTTTGCGCTCTGCCAACTCGCAGCAGCCTGTCCTGACGCGCTGCGCTCTCCGTACCGAGCAAGTCCTGCAGGTCCTGTACCCGGTCTGTGATCGGCTGCTGTAAGTTTACACCAGCGCAACAGCTGTTTTAGTTGGGAGGTATGTACCACTGGACATATACGCTGCATTCTGCGAATTGAAAGGTCATTTATAAACATATATTTCGCTCTTGGATTTGGTGATGTTAGGGAAGTATGCAGTCAGTGCACTTGTATGACCCATATTTATCTCTCTGACCTCCGTTGCCCCAGTAGCCTCACAAATGATGTATGTTGATGTGTATGAATACAGTATTTTCCCACAAAAAGACACATTATTAAAACAAGACTTTAAAAGGAGGATGATTTTCTACAGACTGAAAGTTGAAGTTCTGTGCTGTTTCCTGTAACTGTCTTGACTTGAACCCTGCATCACATGTCAGCACAAGGCTCCTGTCAAACAGCATCCTCAGTGAGACAACCCAGAGTACAGATGCTGATATACACATAGGCCTTGCTGCCAGTAAACATTAGTTGACAATACTAGTGGCTTGCGATCATTTGCTGACTTCACACTGCTTTGGCGAGTGTGCTCAGGAGAGGACAATAAATTATTCTCTGGTCCTGGATGTGAGATTTAGTGAGGTGAGGTCCAGTCAGACCAGGAGCAGTGCAATCTTAGTGAGGCAGATTTACAGTGGCCACACTGCTTAAAGCCTCATTATAATGGCCAGTAAACGAACTGTATCCGGCATGAGGAGCAGCCCCAAGGACTCCTCTGGGGTTATAAATTTTTAATTCCAAAGGCTTGTATTCTGGATTATTGAAAGCAGATCAATGGGGGCTGATTAGGTTTTGACCCTTTACTTGTTTTGTTTTTCATCAGGTGGGAGGTGACAAAGCCATGGACTGGACAGTTTGTTTGCCAAATCCATATGTGTCAGACATATTGTTTAAACAGAAAACAGATGCTTTCATAAACATCACCCACTCAAAGCAACATAGTATGTTAAAATCCAGTGGCCAATTGGGCAACATTTTTCTTCAACATATAAAATACATTACATAATTTACATACATTACAACATTAAAATATTCATTCTGATCAGAAATCACTTTATTTCATAAGTGTAGCATCCAGATTATAAATAAAGATCCCCTCTAAATATTCTAAGACACAGACAAATACTCTGTTTGGAAAAATGACGTGTGCCTGATATGTTTTTTCCACAAAAAGCACAATTACTTTAACACTTAAGACATAGCATCTACTTCTTTTCCCTACTGAAGAATATCCTGAGACCCTGCGTCCTCATATGAGGACATTATGTTTTGGTTTTCCTGCACCTTATACTTAATTCTGTTTAACTTTTGGACACTTAATGCTCAGTCGACAGCTGATCCCGACACAACAGTGGACAAGGTACAAAACCTGATAAGATTTTATGGTAGAAACTTGTTTATTTGTACTAAATTACATCTCTAGTTTGATATGGCAGCCAAATTTGACCATTTGGGACACTGGGACTATATTATCATCTGGTTTGAGAACACTAGGACTTTATTGTTGTATTATCCCAGGATTTCACAGTGTACAGAGCAGGGAATTTTAATACAAAGTTGCAAAATGAATAAATCACAAGTCTTGTGGATATGTTGCATTATTTCCAATTTTGTTTTTGCACAGCCATGTCAGGCATTGAACTGAACAGTTTTGAACAGTTTTAGACTTGAACAGTGACCTCTGACCCATAGGGTCAAACAAAGCAGTAAATAATTGTTGCTTTGTTTGTAATTTTGTTTTGCACAACGATGTTCAGGCATTGAAATAAACAATTTTATAATTTATTACATACCTGTGACTATTAAAAATAAACCCATCGTCCCCATATGAGGACATTTTTTCCCCCCAAAAAACTACTTAGTGTTCAAAGACAGTGCTTAGTTTTTTATACTTATCAGGTCCTACACTCCCAAAAAAGCAAAAAAAATCCCCAAAAAATCAAAAATGCATGCCAAACAAAAGCTGGGGTCTCAGGAGAATATACATTTTAAAACAGGACATTTTTAGGTCGTTCACCTATTGGCTTGTGTCCTGATTGCATATTTCCTAAACTTTTTAAGGAGAGCACAGAGGAACTTTCCTCCTTTTAAATATGAAAACAGCCTTCTAACTCTGCATATACATCAGTCTGCACAGTAAAGCTCCAACATCCATGTTAAGTGAGAGGGAGAACACCTTTATGAGCAGTGGGGGACTTTAAGGTATGTGGCCTGACTTCACCTGAGTAAATGTTGTCTTTCTGCCAGAAATCTTCATAGAAAAAAGTGTGTCTCCCTATAGCGCACTTTTTTCATAATGAAATCAGAGAAATGTAATGAGAAAATGGTGATCATTTGAGAAGCTTGAAGAAAACGCCTAAAATTGAATAAGTGACACCCTACACCTAAGTGTTTCATGAGTCATAACTTCTATTACACTCTCTTTTTATAATTACAAACCAAAATGTGGCAAATGTGCAAAAATGCCTGAAATACGAGCACTAAAAATAGTCAGCTATAACAGCAAAATATGGCATTTCATCAGCACTGTGCTGGAGGGGTTGTGGCCACCAAGGGGACCTCTCACATACAGTATAATGTGGGCCTGTCCAAAATTGCAGGAGTACTGGGACGATGTTAAAAGGATAATAGAGCAAATTTTGGATATAAAAATAAAACTTGACCCAAAGTTATTTATTTTGGGCATCCCTTCTGGATTCAAAAAGGGGAAAAAGAAAACATATTTACTGAGGACCCTGATTTTAATAGCCAAAAAACTATTATGGTATTATGGTTGCAGCCACAACATAAAACAATGGCAACAAAAGGTGAATGAGGTCTATATTATGGAAAAGATTACAGTTAAAATTCAGCTGAAAACTGACTTTTTTATGGAAATATGGTCACCTTGGATGTCAATGCAGAGCTCAAGATTCTCACTAATTTGATGGCATTTGCCACCAAAACTCTGTTCACTGCCAATAATAGGAAAGAAAAGGAGGAAAAGGATGAAAGAGAAAAGAGAAAAAAATATATATAATATGTGGTGTTGAGCCAATTCGTTTTTGTGTTGTTTTTTTCTCTGTTTTTCTTTTTTGCACAACTAAGTGATGTGCTATGCTACTAATTTAAAAATTTTCTGGCAGTAATGCTATCAGTGTAAAATATTACTTTTTTACCCTGTAACTAAAGTAAGGGAAGAAAAAAAAAATAAAAAAAAAATAAAATGAAATTGTACTAAAAACACATAAAATGGTTATACAGTATCTTTATCGCTTGCACATTTACTGTATATTTAGTTTTTTTTTTTGCCTTTTGTTTGTGTGGGGTTTTTCTTTAGTACTGGGTATTTGATTTGTTGTATCTTTTTTTTTAATTAAATTCATACAAAGTTAAAGAGAAATGCAAAATGTTTATTTTTGAAAAGACGAATGTATGAAGTGCACAGCATAAATAAAAAGTTCAAAAAAAAAAGTCAGCTTTAATGTTTTCATTAGAACTTTGATCGTCTGAGCACCAACCTTGACAGTATACTTTGAATATGCAATGAACTGCAGTGCAGTCATGAGTGGTGAAACATGACCGCTCAAAAATGAACCATGGGCCAGTTCATTTCGTAAATGGCCGCCCACTTCATCATATTACAAAGTGATGACAATTTACAGGGACACATTCTGTGAAATACTTAATATCTACAGTATGATTTCTGATTAGAGAGCAAGAAGGTTGTTTGGACTTTGGATTAAAGCCAAGGATCCCATCACTAATAGGATTCAATCCCTAATTTCTCAACGGATAGATGTATGAATGCTTGACCTGTTACAGGTCTCTGGCATCACTCTGGTTTCTTCTTCTTAACTTCCTGATTGACACAGAAACAAATGTTGGTGAATCATTCTAACTGCTGCCTGTTGTGCTTGAGTTCAGTCGTCTTTGGTCAAACATCCCAGGAAAAATTTACTTTTGGTAATTTTATTATGTGTGATGCAAAGAGACTTTTATGTTTGATTCACCCAATCCCAATCTCCTCCCCTGTCAAATGGTGTATTCTTAATGGTTGTATATATTCACACACATTACATTTTAATGGTAAGCAGGAACACAAACTACTTGAGAGAAACAAGTGAGATGGTGGCGGCTCTCGTTTATTAACCCCAGTAACGAGGCCCTGGGGAAAAATTCTCTCTGGCCCTTCTTAATCATGAAGTGCAAGCTTTTCTTTTTTATCAGGAAGGTGCAGCATTTTAAGGATTTAAGTGCCACAAAGTGACAGCCCAGCCACCAAAGGAAGAGCTGTGTCACCACACAATTCACTGCCTTAGCGGTTTAACAGCTTTAATACAAAAATATATAAGTCACATCTTCTTTTTTTGTGTCACTGGCATGGCTCAGTCTGTTGGTTGGCTAGCCCAACACACTGACATGTCTCAACAACCGCTGGATGGATTGCGATGAAATTCATGTTCATCTAAGGACAAATCACAATCTATTTGGAGATTTTTGCACCAACATCAGGTCAAAGTTTTAGTTTGTGCAGCACTTTGGGTCATTACCAAAATTGTGAAAGTAATGACATTCCCATAATCTTCAACTGCATTTTGTATTCAGCACTAATTTACACGTTAGCATGCTAACAAACTAAATCAGGGGTGTCAAATCGGCCTGTCAAAAGGTCAAATCTAGCCCACAAGGTAACTTTGCACACAGCTAATAAGTGTCAGGTTTTAGGAGCAAGTTAAACAGTGAGTGGACTATGTCATATAAAATGCTGCTACAGAGGTGTTTCACCCTGACCAGAATACAGTTCTCTAAAAAGTCAATGAATACTTATCGTATCACATTTAAAGAGATTGAACATAGTGCAAGACGTTGTCAATCAGCAGTTATATCAGA